TATTTTTTTTAAAAAGTCCCTCGCAGCGCTTGCGAAGAGGCTAGTATATATATAATCGCATTTTATTTTGGACTAGACAATCTCCACCGCACGAATAAACCTAATTTTTTTTTCCCCTTCATATGTTTGTATGTTTAATTAGTAATTTTCAATTTTCCCCTTAGTTGGTTTGGTGAAACAAATTAATGAGGCGTTTATTTAAATGGTAATCTTATCTTTGGCATAGGCTAACAGCTGCTTGCCAATAATTGTATGAGGAACAGTCTTGCCAGTTCATCCCGCATCAGGTTTGCATGATTTCAGCATTACAATAAGACAAGTCTGGAAAAAAAAAATGTAAATATTAATTCTGTGTCCATATACACATACCTGCCTGCTTCCTATATATCGTATATTGGTTTCGATGTATTATTATAGGCCACAATTTGCCGGCCCCACACACTCTCACACACACAGAGCCAAAATAAAAATAAATAATTTTTGTGGATGAAACAGTAAGGGTAACTCAAAGTTAAGTTTTACTCTGCTCTATCCTTCCTTATTGCATTTGCCCTATAAATAATGGAGCTTCGTGGGTCGCTTAAAACTCAAAGCAGATGGAAAAGATGGAGGAGAAAGGCAACCATGTTGCAAGGAAAAAGGGAGGCTTGGTCACTATGCCCTTCATCTTTGGTAAGCTAATCACTAGCCAGCGGTTTCTTCTTCTTCTTCTTCTTCTTAATTTAATTATCTCTTAATTATTTTGTTTGTTTTTGGGGTTTTAATTAATTGATTAATATACTAATGGAGATTGTACTGTTGTTCATGGCTTGGTGGTTGTAGCTAATGAGATTTGCGAGAAGTTGGCTGTGGTGGGTTTCAATGCTAATATGATTAGCTACTTGACAACACAACTTCATATGCCATTAACCAAAGCAGCCAACACCCTCACCAACTTTGGTGGCACTGCGAGCTTGACCCCCTTGCTTGGTGCCTTCCTTTCTGATGCCTACGCTGGCCGCTTCTGGACTATAACTATTGCTTCCATTATTTACCAGATTGTAATTCTCAACCCTCTCTCTCTCTCTCTCTCTCTCTCTCTCTCTCTCTCTCTTATAGACACATAACATAAACATGAAGATTTAAGAGTATATATAGAACATGTGAATGAAACACCAAAAGGAATAGTATTGAGTTCTTATCAATCATAGTGAGTTATATGGCGAGTCATTTTCAAGATCAACTACAGAAAAAAGAACATAGAAGTTGTGACCTTTTAAATGATTTTTCATAAGGGGTTTCCAAAAGAAAAACAGAGAAAGTAGAATTTGACACAAGGGGACAAGTTTAGTTAAGATTATTAAAAGGGCATGTCCAATATGATTGAGCTCAATTTTTAATTAGTGAGTGACATACATTCATCACTATTGTCACAATCAAGCTAGCAAAGAATTGATACACCAGTCCTTTTCTTTTGTTATTAATATTATTAATCAAAGACTAATTCTTATTAACATTTGTATTTTCGTACATAATTAAACAGGGCATGATTAGCCTGACGGTATCGGCAGTACTTCCCCAACTAAGGCCTCCGCCGTGCCAACACAACCAAGTGTGCAAAGAAGCCGACGGGGGACAGCTTGCAATTCTGTATGCATCTCTTTTACTAGGAGCACTCGGGTCGGGCGGGATCCGACCCTGTGTCGTGGCATTCGGAGCGGACCAGTTTGACGAGACGGACCAGAAGCAAACCACCAAGACATGGAATTATTTCAACTGGTACTATTTTGTGATGGGGGCATCTATATTACTGGCTGTGACAGTGCTTGTGTATATCCAGGACAATATAGGATGGGGTTGGGGACTTGGAATTCCAACTATAGCCATGTTTATCTCAATTATTATATTTATGGTCGGGTACCCGCTTTACCGGAACTTGGATCCGGCTGGGAGTCCGTTTACCCGGTTGATACAAGTGTCCGTGGCTGCCTACAAGAAGAGAAAGCTGCCTTTGGTGTCTGATCCTAGATTGCTGTATCAGAATGATGAACTTGATGGCCCTATTTCTCTGGGTGGGAAGCTTCTTCATACTAAACACATGAAGTAACTCTCTCTCTCTCTCTCTCTCTCTCTCTCTCAAGTTGCATGCATATTTGTGGCTTATTAGCTCTTCGACATGTTTTCTCACATAATTATCATAATTGGTTTTAATATTTATTGTCACATAAACCAGACTTGGAAATTTTGAATAGCTCAGAGGGTTGCTTTTTCACCATCTGGCTAAATTGGCTGGGCCCCTTTTACATTAATTTCTTTTTACTTCACTTTATATTATTTCTTTTTCTTTACACTTAATTTTCTAACTTATACTCTATTTTCAGTATTAAAAGGAGAAAAAAAAATACTTAATTTCTTACTCGATTAAAGGAAGAAAAAAAAAACTAAAAATGGAGTGCAAGTTGGAAAATTAAGTATAAAAATTAAAAAAAAATTAATATAAACGTAAAGTAAAAATAAATCAAAGTAGAGTAAGAGTAGGAAAAAATAAAAATAAAATTGAATAAAAAGTTAAAAAGAGTGTAAGTGGAGAAAAAGAGAGGGTAAATCACATCCAAAAAAAAAATCTCTAGTTTTGATAACAGCTGGCCTGCATTATTATCAACACCTATATTTGACGGGGGCAATATTATCAATTTGTTATGGTTGTTTGTCGTAAAGCATGTTGCAGATGATGACTAAGTCATTTTGTCCATGCATTATTGATGAATTGAATACGTAGGGTCCACACTCCTCTGATCTTCTTGAGCAGCACACCACACCACACCACACCACATACTTGGTTTGGTTTCTATAGCAGAAAGCTCGCGTCCTCTAGCTTAGTCCATTGTCAGAGACTCGTAATCATCCCACAATCCGCAAGAACCCAACATTATGAACGTGCGATCTAGTCACCTTTGATTGCTTTCCAGAGCTTGACCTGCTTTTCCCACAACATGCTGGCTTGCCTTTTTCGCTTCCCAGGTGTCACTGGCTTAATGGGTTTCTCATACACCAGATCAACGCCAACATATATGAACCAATCATTTGGCCATCACCACAATATTGGATAAAATTCTTAATCCCCAAAACACACACACAAAAGAACTATGCAATTAAAGTAGCTCTTAATTTAAGATATTGTATGCTAAATTAACCCAATTCCTTGTCAACCAATCACAATGTTTTATTAGTTGCGATCTAAATTCACAGTACAACAACATAAATCTTATCATGACGATTGGGATAGAACGTTACCCTAATATACATATGGTGAAATATATATGCAGATTTCTTGACAAGGCGGCCATTGCGACTGAGGAAGACAATCTCAAGTTACCAAACCTATGGAGGCTGAACACCGTTCATCGTGTGGAAGAACTCAAATCTGTGATTAGAATGGGACCTATATGGGGATCAGGGATACTCCTCATCACAGCCTATGCCCAACAAAACACTTTCTCACTCCAGCAAGCAAAAACCATGGACAGGCACCTCACAAAGTCCTTTGAAATCCCAGCAGGCTCCATGGCAGTCTTCAACATAGTCACCATGCTGTCCACAATCGCATTTTACGACCGCCTCTTCATACCCTTTGCCAGGAAGCTCACAGGGCTCGACAGAGGCATCACATTCCTTCACAGAATGGGAATTGGCTTTGTCATTTCAATACTGGCTACACTGGTTGCTGGGTTCGTCGAAACGAAGCGAAAAAATGCAGCTTTTGCTCATGGGCTTGTAGATCAGCCTCATTCCATAATCCCCATTTCAGTGTTTTGGCTCATCCCTCAGTATAGCCTTCATGGGATGGCTGAGGCATTTATGTCAATTGGGCACCTCGAGTTTTTCTATGACCAGGCACCAGAAAGCATGAGGAGCACTGCTGCTGCGCTGTTTTGGACTGCAATCTCTGCTGGAAATTATGTGAGCACTCTTTTGGTGTCCCTGGTGCACAAGTTTAGTGCTGGGCCTAATGGATCAAATTGGCTGCCAGATAATAATCTAAACAAGGGGAAGTTAGAATACTTCTACTGGGTGCTCACATTATTGCAAGTTATAAATCTGATTTACTACATATTCTGTGCCAAAATGTACACTTTTAAGCCCATTCAGGTCATCAAGAAAGAAGCTGCTGAGTCTGAAGAGAAGGGCGTAGAGCTTGTCAATCGCGTTTAGTTGGCTTTTTAATTAATTAATCAATTAGTGCTTAGGTAGGCAGTCACCACTGGTCATAGTTTAGTGTATAGAAAATGAGGAGAATGTCTACTTTGAATAATAAATTACAGATTCTCTGAGTCATCCAGCTTGTATGATCAATTCTTTGTATATTAGATCTTGGAAGCACACGAAATTCAAACATGTGCTTCTACTCATCTTATCAACTAAAGCAAGGCCTCTATTTTGCTCTGTTTTGCTGAAAATTAATTTTATGGTAAGTTTTACTTTACTACCCAGAAGTTTATCGGTGAAAAAAAAACAAAGCGTAATACATATAGACTGGATTCAATTTTGGGTGATCTTAAAAAGGCCATGAACTAGGCCCAGTTTTATCTTTGGGTTTGGGACCTGACCCAAGAGGGAGCAACCAAGGCCTAATAAAATGGAGAACTAGAAAAAGAAGAAAAGGAAAGTGGAGTTAAGAAACCTCGATGAACAAACAAACAAGAGATGACTTTTCCCGGATGGTCGGTCTGATTGTGTTTGACTTTTGATGATCCCATTCCGTGTAATGTAAAAGAAAAAAGTGGTGGTTTCCTTTACCTTAGGCAGGCCGCATCCTTAGCGAAGCTTCAAACCCCATAGCCTTACGTTCTAGGTTGCACCCCTTTTCAACACAACCAACAACAAAAGCAACAAAGGCAACTGCCTTGCACCTGGAGGACCCTAATTATTATTAACATTATTATTTGAAGGTTTTGTTTGTAACTATAAACGAAGAAAAAGAAAGAGAAATCGTTTCGTTGAGGGTAGGGTTTTATTTGTGAATGATTTTAGGGGTGAAACGCAGCGGTAGCGGAGCCATGGATGGTATGGCAATGGCAGAGTCGACGTCCACGCCTCCTCTAACATCCATTGTTGAAGCCTTTGAGGAGTTGGACAAGTTCCTCCAATCCCAACCACAACAACAACAGAGGCTAAGTTTGGATACCTTCTGCCAGGCCTCTTCTCTCGTCTCCATCCTCTTCAGTTGCCTTGGCCTCGCTTTCAAGTTCGCCGAGATGGAGTACGTCTCCAAGGTTCCGTTTCTCTCTTTCATCCATCTTCTTACTTTTCAAATTCAATCTAAATTGCGTGTTTTTTATATATAGATTTTCAATTTGTTTGGGATCAAGATATGCTGCATTGATGATTATGTTGTACATAATATGCTGCAGAACTCTGTTTGTTGCAGATCATGTATAAAATATATGCTTTCCATCCTGCATTCCCATTCTGCTTGCAATTTTGATTTCAGATGTCTATGATATCTGGCCCTTTCTGATCACGTTTGCCTTCTCAATTTTGTTTGTTTCTCAATTCTTGCATAATTCATACTCCTAATGAGGCTCTATTTCTTATTCGTTCTTGGTTGCATTTTCAATCCAATTGGCCTTCCTGCAGGATCTCACACTCTGTTTGGTTCATTCAGGTTGATGATCTTGTGGAAGCATCAAAGACTTACGACACCTTAGAAAGTATAATTGATTTTGATGTTGCAAATGACATGGTAAAAACCCCGGGAAGCCACTCCCGTAATTTGCGCCGAGTTAGGCAGGGCCTTGACCTCATCAGAGCTTTATTTGAACAATTTTTGTCAACCGAGTATGTTCAACCTCCTTATGTCTAATTGCAGACTGCAGTTATGTATCATTCTGCAGGTATTTTGGTTTTGTTCTACATCATGATATCTAGCTCTCTCTCTCTTGCTTTTTCGGCCTTTCAGTGACTATTCTTTAAGGGAAGCAGCTTCTACAGCTTATGCCCAAGTTTGTGCGCCATACCACAGTTGGACAATAAGGACAGCAGTTGCTGCCGGCATGTATGCTCTTCCGACAAGGGATCAACTTCTGGTGAATCTTGAAGAAACCCGTAAGTGTAAAACTTTTCTCTATCCATCCAGCATCTCTTTCAAATGTGCTATTGATTCTTAATTATGATCCTTAATTATGATCAATTTTATTGCAGACCAGTCAGCAGAGAAGAAGATGAAAAGGTACATCCGGGCCTCACGTCCGGTGATTGAGTACATCGACAAGCTATACCTTTCTAGGAGTATCACCTTGGACTGGTGACTTGAGTCTTCATCTATTATTGTATATGCAGTTCTAGTTCTTTAACATCACTTCTTTTACTCTACAATGGGCCTGTACATAAGTGTTATTACCGTGCTACAAGAGACCTATATGTTTTATAGGAGGCTATTATTTAGACTGCAAGATCAAAAAAATTATCGCATGGCTCAAGGCAGTGCTGCTGCAAAAGTTATTAGTTAAATGATGTTTGCTACCTATACAAAGAAAGGAACTTAAAACTCCAATTTCTAATCACTTAATCCACTATAAAATGAAAGGTTTCATGAGATGCTTAACAGATAGAATATGGTAAACTTGAATGCCTAAAATCACCAAAGTTCATAAACAACCAATTCATGTATAGATTCTATGCCTGTCATACATGATATTATTACACAGCCATTGGGTTTTGAACTTTCCCACCAAGCATTGTTCTTATCCAAAAATTTCAAAAGTTGCTATTTCCCTGTTTCAAATTCTTCTCAACAGTGACTAACAAAGCATTGCAATTTCTTAAAGGAGTTCAAAACAAAATGAAGTACAACACAAGCAGAAAATGCTAGAAATTACTGCAAAAGCGTGTTCTTTAGTTGGGCACCCCGTTTGAAAGAGACGTCATTCTTTTTTCACTGATGAAAATTAGAGGCTTATGGTCAAAAACATTTTATCCTTGGAAGTCCTGAAACACCAACTACAACGTGAGGCTCTCTGGGTTCTCAACAATCTTTGCAAACGTCTTGAGGAAGGCAGCCAAATCAGCACCATAAACAATCCGGTGATCAGCTGTTACATTTACCTGTAGAAAGATGCACATTCCAACTAAATTAAGCACATTCCAACTAAATTAAGTATCTTTTCTAAAAGTTTCTAACCACAAGAGAAGCTATAAGTTTCAGATTCCCTGTTGTGTTCAACTGACAAAATTGATAAGCAGAGGAAGAAAAATATTCAGTGCAGAGAAACTTAGTTATTAAATCCAATCAACATTATAAAATCTTGGTGTTTCTGGAATTGGAGTCAATAGATCAACTACAAAGAAAGTGATGTTCCCCTCCTTTCACATAGAGGTGCATGGAGGTGTTTGCATATAAGGCTCTGTTTCTCTCCCACAAGATTAGTTGACATGAATATAGAACTGAGAAGTACAATAAATCCTTCATATTTCGTGAGAACAGCTAATTTCAGTCAAGTACAACTCTAGCCAAATTTATATATAACTTCTTAACATTCTTTTCCTCACAGAAGAAAGTAGCAGGTTACCATGCTTTGTGTATCTGACATGGAAAATTCGGGAGTACTAGTAACAAGAAGTATATGCTGTTCAATTTTGCATTTGTGTGTGCTGTTGAATTTTGTTTAAATGGTTGTCATAGTGAAACTAAACTGATATCACTGTAAAGTTCTCCAGCACATCAACATTAAGATACATAGCACACATTATGAAGAAAAACCGATGATACTCACCAGCATTTTACTTTTTACACTGAAGAACCCATCTGCATCGGCCACAACAGTTGGCTTTGAAGCTCCAACAGCCATGATAGCCCCCTGATTATTAATAAAAAATTTGAGCAAACAGCGAAATAATAATTAACATAAATTATCAATTCACGAAACCCAAAATTCTTATCTTTAAGGGTTAAAACTCACCTGTCCTGGAGGAAGAATAGCATCAAATCTGTCCACTCCAAACATGCCCAAATTGGACAAAGTGAAAGTTCCTGTATAGAATTCAATGTAACATAATGAGTACAACAGAAAAGCAAGGAGAATAGAAGTAACAAACAGAGTTTCTAAGAATTTGTACAATAAAGACCTGAACTGTACTCATGGGGCTGAAGTTGCTTCGCACGGGCCTTCTCCACTAGCTCTTTCCATTTCTGGGATAACAAATACAAATCCAACTGCGAAAACAAATACAAATTACCCATCAATATCTAAAACTCCAACTATCAAGAGCAAAAATATTAAATTTAACTAACATATCATTCAGAAATACAGACCTTATCGGCATCCTGAAGAACAGGGGTTATAAGGCCACCATTGATTGCCACAGCAACGGCGATGTTTATGCTACTATTATAGGTGAAGCTCTTCCCGTCTTTGCAGCTGGCATTTACAACCGGGTGCTGAGCGAGTGCCAGAGCAGCAGCCTTGGCCAACAATGCAGTCATGGTCACACCCTTTGGCTTCACCTGTACAAAAAATGTCGATAAATTCAGCTCAAAGTCCCAGAATTGCAAATGCCAATCAGACCCAATAGGAATTCCAAAGGCAACAACCCAATTAAATCAAACACTATCCACAATGTACCTTCTCGTAGAGGGCATCGAGCGCGTCGGTGCTGATTGGATAACCAACGCGGAATGTTGGCACCGAGAGACTCTCCAACATGTTCTTCGAAACAGCGGCCTGCATCGTTGTGAAGGGCACCACAGTTGAGCCAGGAAGCAGAGGCGCTGATGAAGCCGAAGGAGCAGCAGAAGGCTTGGGTGGAGCAGCGGACACGGGAGTGGGCTCGGCGGCGACGGTTTTCTTGGGCTGGGCAATTCCGGCGGCGGCCTCCACATCAGCAGGTGTAATTCGGCCAAATGGGCCGGAGCCCACCACGGAGGCAATGTCCACCTTGTGTTGCTTGGCTAGCTTTTTGGCAAAAGGCGTGGCCACAGTCTTTCTGGGAGTGTAAGTAGCAGGTGGAGAAGGCTGGGCGATTGCTGGAGCGGGAGTGGAAGTAGCAGGAGGAGGAGTGGGCGTAACAGCTTCAGCAGCCGGGGAAGAAGAAGCAGGGGAATCTGATGAAGCGGATTTGGCTTTGGCTTTAGCCGCAGCGACTTCCTCTTCGGTCTCGGCCAGTAGTCCGATGGCAGCTCCGACAGGGGCGGTCTCGCCCTCGCCGACGACGATGGCAGCGAGAATTCCGTCGTAGAAGGTCTCGACGTCCATGTCGGCCTTGTCGGACTCGACGACGACGACGCTCTCGCCTTTGGAGAGGACGTCGCCTTCGGATTTGACCCAGGAGACGATCTTTCCCTCGGTCATGGTGGAGCTGAGGGCAGGCATGAAGATCTCCCTGATCTTGGATTGGACGGTCAGGTTTCTCCGACGGGGTTTAGTGCGAAATGCGGTGGAGAAGGAAGGGGAAGAGTGTGAGGACCGCCAAGGAAGAGAAGTGGAGATGGAGGAGGAGGAGAAGGAAATGGTGGTCTTCGATAGAAATGGAGAAGACGCCATTCTGGATTTCGGAGAACTGGAGGAGATAGAGAGAAATAAGGGATTGGGGGTGGTCTGTGTGAGTGTGATTTAAAAGAAGAAGAAAGTGGGCGGAGAAGACGAGGAGGAGTTGGTTGGAGGCTTTGAGCTACCCGCAACTCTGTTTAAATTGTTTACATCGCCATTCGCCTGGCACTTGGCCACTCCCACTCTTCCTTATTATTTACTTAGGATTTTTTTTTTTTTTTTTTTTTTTTTTTTTTTTTTTTTTAAGTACTATTCAACTGAAGTTTACACAAATATTCATTGAATTCTTAGGGGTTTCCAATCTCTTTTCGTATTGATGGAGATTGAAGAGTTAAACCAATTGAGTTATACTTAGGGGTGGGCACTTAAACCGACGAACCGGAAATCCAACCCGAACTGCACCGAACCAAACTGGAAAAAAAACCAAGTTGATCACAAAGTCAAAAATCGGTCAAAAATCGAAGCGGACAGGTTTGGAACGGTTTTGGATCCGGCTTCATGTCTTCAAAAACTGGACCGGGCCAAACCGAACCGGTCAAATTGAAAAATATATAATTTCAATATATATTTATATTTAATGCTATATTTTTAATTTCACCAAAAAAAAATATTTTTTTCCAAATTCAATTTCCAAATATCTCTCTTTTCTAACTTTAATATTTATTTTTATAGGAAATTGAATAATTTGTTAATTTTCAAGTAATAATAATAATATTTCAATTGAGAATTGTATTAAAAATTAATCCGGTTCAAAACGGAATCGGTTCAACCTAAACCATATAGTTTTTGAAATTTTTTTTATTAAAATTGGACCGAACCAAACCGGATGAATAGTACCAAATTGGTTCTAATTTGGGGCAAAAACCAGTTCAACCCGAACCGTGCCCACCCTAGTTATACCTATGCTCGGCCCTGAATAGGGGTAGTCAGTGCAGCCACCTTGGGCCCATTATTCAAGGGGGCCCAAAATTTTTTTAAAATAAGTGTTATATGAGATTATTATAACTAATTTAATATTTTCGAAGAAAAAAAAGACGATGAGGATCTGGTATGTTCCACTCCTCAAGAAGAAGAATGCTTTTGTGCACCCGTTCCACTCCTCCAAGTTAACTTTTGCACATCGCTTCTTCTAGTTACAAAGTTTGGAATCCTCTCCTAAGCCTCATCTAAGCTAGTCCTTATGAATCATCTTCTTATAGTTACAGGTTAAGTTTTGCGCATCCCTTCCGCTTTCTTATGAATCCCCTTCATCTCATTTCATCTAAGCCTCTCCTACTAGTTATAGAGTTATGAATCCCTAAATTAATTTTTCTGTTGGTAGATTGGGGAGATTCCAAAATCCAAAGTGTGGGCTTTTGTTCAATGCAAAATTGGTCGTTGTAGAAATCAATTGAATATAATTTTTTTATGATTTGGTATCAAATGAAAAGGAAAATATGATTTTGTTTGTTTGTTTGTAGATTTGTGAACTCATGCAGTTACACATTCTTTTTGCTCTAATTGATTGCAAATTTGGAAATATCAAGTTTGTTTCTGTGGAGGGGGATTTCTCAAATTCCAGGTTATGTTGTTCTTTGTTTATTCTTTGAAGTATTAAAATTGCATTGGCTTTCCTTGTATTGTTTATGTTTTCAAGTAACCATGTTCCCTAATAAACACCCATCTGGAAGTTAAAAAATTAAAAAAAGAGAGAGAGAGAGAGAGAGAGAGATAGAGAAAATAATTAACTCAATCTCAACAGGGAGCTCTGGATAAAAAATTTCAAAACAAAACAAATAGTTCACTTGATAACTCAACTGAAGATTTAGTCAATGAATCTAAACAGCAATCATGTTGAAGAATTTGTAGGAATTTATAATGATATAGTCAATGAATCTAAACAACAAAATCATGTGGAAGAATTAGTAGGAACTGAGAAATATTTTAATGCACAAGTAGGTGACTTAGGTGAAAATGAACATGTTGAGAGTGAAGATATTGATTATCTTTGTGATAATGAAGACATTGAACCTAAGGGTGTAGAACCAAGTTTTCCTTTAAACATTTTTTATCCTAGAATTTACTTGTGGAAAAAGGTCATGCAAGAAATAATAATATCAAATTTCCTAGGGATGAAAATTTTAGACATTTTTCCTCGACTTATTACATGAGAAAGTTACCAAATGCAGAGACTTGGGATAGAAAATGGCTAGTATACTCAAAAGAATTGGATAAGGTATTTTGTTTTTGTTGTAAGTTGTTTAAGACAATGTGTTGTAGAAGCCAATTAGCAAACAAAGGACTTAGAGATTGGAAACATCTTAGTAAGAGGCTTAAACAACATGAAAACAACATTGAACACATAACTAACATGAAATCTTGGATTGAATTACATAACAAATTGAAAAAAAAAAACAATTGATAAAAGCATACAAGAACAAATTAGGAGAGAGAAGGAACACTGGAAACATGTTTTGGTAAGAATAATTTCTATTGTCAAATGTCTTGCTAAAAATAATAATGCGAGAACATTTTCGACGGATTCAAAATGATGAGATTCACTATCACTATCTAAGCCATATGATTCAAAATGAACTAATAGCTTTGCTAAAAGTCAGAAGTGCAATCATTGAGAAAATCAAACAGGCAAAATATTTTTCAGTAATACTTGATTACACTCCTTATTCAAGTCACAAGGAACAAATGACTTTGATAATACGGTGTGTGGAAGTGTCAAGGAGTCCAGTGAAAATAGAAGAGTACTTTTTAGAGTTTTTAATTGTGAAAGATACACCAAGATTAGGACTTTTCAATGAATTACAATCTGTCCTAGATTCCCTTGGTCTTGAAATTGATGATGTTAGAGGACATGGTTATGATAATGACTCTAATATGAAAGGGGAAAATTAAGGTGTACAAAGAAGATTACTTTAAATAAATCTCAGAACTTTGTTCATACCATGTGGTTGTCATTCTCTTCATTTAACAATATGTGATATGGCAAACTGTTGTGTGAAAACAAAATCCTTTTTTGGGGTGGTTCAACGCATTTATTGTGTTTTTGCTAATTCTACAAAACGTTGGAAGATTGTACAAGATCGTATAGATAGTTTAACTCTCAAAACACTGTCAACTACACGTTGGGAAAGTTGTGCAGAGAGTGTTAAAGCAATAAGATCTCAAGCTGCTCAAATAAAAGAAGCTTTATTTAAAATAGCAGAAACTAATGAAGATGTTAAAGCAAAAGGTGAAGCTGAAATTTTAGCAACACATGAACTGGAAAATTTTGATTTTTTATTAGGCATGATTATTTTGTTGAAAATTAACTTAGTCAGCAAAAAGTTACAATCTAAAGACATATGCATTGATGCTGCTTTAAAAAATTTGGAGGGGCTCATTTCTTTTTTTGAGAATTATAGGAAAAATAGATTTGCATATGCTATGATTGAAGCTAAAACTTTTGCTTGTGATATCGGAATTGAACATGAATTTCCTAAAAAATGTCAAATTATAGAAAGAAATAATTGGATGAGAATGCCAATGATGAGATGGTACAATCAGTTGAAGAATCATTTAGAGGCAATTATTTCATATGTGTAGTGGATATGGCTCTTTCTTCATTAAGGAGTAGATTTGAACAAATCCAAACATATGATGGTATTTTTGGGTTCTTGTTTAATTTAAATAAGTTAACTTCTTTGGATGATAAGGAATTGAAAATTTTTTGTGTGAAGCTTGAAACTACTTTAAAAAATGGTAAGTCTTCTGATGTTAATGCAAGTAATTTGCTTTCAGAGTTACAGGTTCTGCAATTACTTTTACCATTAGAAGTAAACACAACACTTGAAATTGTAGAGTTTGTAAAAGATATGGACTGTTTTCCAAATGTTTTGATTGCTTATAGAATAATATTAACTGTACATGTGACTGTAGCATCTGCAAAAAGAAGCTTTTCTAAATTAAAATTATTGAAATCTTACTTGAGGTCTATCATGTCACAAGAAAGGCTAAATGGGCTAGCAATCTTATCCATTGAAAAAGAGATGTTAGAAAATCTTGAATTTGAAAGCATCATTGAGGATTTTGATTCTCAAAATGCAATAAGAAACTCATTTAAATAATACTTTTTTAGTTGTGATTTTATTGTTTTTCACCTTATATTGCAGGTGGTGATGTTGATATTTTGCTTGTTGTTAAGGATGCAAAGGGATTTCAAGTAGGTTGCTGTTGTTTGCTTTAGCTATTGAGGATGCAAGGAATTTTTTATTTTGCTAGTTGCTGATGATGCAAAGGGATTTCAAGTAAGTTGTTGTTGTTTGCTTTGGCTATTGAGGAAGAAAATACATTTTTGTTTTGTTGGTTGCTGAGGATGCAAAGAGATTCAAGTAGGCTACTGTTGTTTGCTTTGGCTATTGAGGATGTAAAGACATTTTTGTTTTGTTGGTTGCTAAGGATGTGTAGGGGTTTTTTCGTTCTGGCAGCTACTGATGGGTATGGGCTGCTGCTGTAAAAAGCCAAATGTGTGAAATTGTCCTTTGAGTTTGAGTTCAAGGATCATACCCCAAGAGTGTTTCGAAAGGGTAGCTGAGCCTTAAGAAACACATTGGTCTTCTTCACCAATGAAACCAACAGTCACTTAAAGATAAATTCTTGGCTTGGCATGGGAGCTGAGTATTCATGTGTTTAGCATGAGAGAGAGAAAGAGCTGCGATTTCCTATGAGAAACAGAGTTTTTAAGGCAATGGGGAAGGGATTTTAAAGGGGTTCGTTGAAGAGAGAGAGAGAGATGGGGGAATAACAATGGGTGTTGAGTAGTTTCCGGCAACTTGACGAAAGCTCTGTCAAGCTTTGAAACGATTTACCAGAGGAGAAAATGGGAGAAGATAGAGGAATGAGGCTTGAAATTTTAGAGGTTTAAAGGATAAGAGATGAAGCTTGCTCTCTGGATGTGTGTTGTGGCTAGTGGTGAAGTAGTGGGTGTGGTTGTTTGATGGGTAGGAGATGACCCTTTTTAT